AATACAGATATATATATATATTTATATATATATTTATATATTATATATATATATTGATATATATATTTATATTTTTTTTTTTTTTCCAGAAAATGTACTGTACTTCAGTCATGCACAAACGACTAGACGATGGCGTCTTCTGCCATCTAGTGTCTGGTGAGCTCACTACATCAACATCATGTGTCGAGCGGTCTCGGTAAAGGCCTATCGCTGACCACAATGTAAATAATGAAAAGACATATTGAGAAATATTGACGTGCATCCTGAAATGCGTACTCTACTGTTACGCTTTTCAACATCACTGAAGAAGTCGATGCATCATTATAGATGTTTTGATTTTTTTTTTTTTTTTTTTATTAAATCTGGGATCGATGTCCTTTTAGAGGTTAAGACAAAAAGGATCCTTTCCCAAGACTATAGGTCTGTCAGATGGGCCTAACGGGTTACATCTATGTCAATAACAGACATAGTCCTGGAACGTCTGAAAACGACCTGCTGCTTGTATATGTACATGTACATGTGTATGTGATCATCTGGCCCCCTCTCTCACTGCAGGGATCACATGTATCCGTCCACCGTTGCTGTTGCAGCGATGCGCAGCCGTGCCGCATGACTCACAGAGGCACAAACGGCCGTGGATGTAAACAGGGGGGCGGACTCGGATTGGACTAACCTGTACCTGGCCCGGCCAATGGGGGAATCCGCATCCCGTTGCCTCCGCTCCAATCCGTAGAATCCTATTGGTCGTGCGCTGTGTCAATACGGTATAGAAACCAAGGCGCAAGCGTCGCAATTACAAGGAGAGGAAGGTAGAGAGAGACAGACACACAGAGAGAGAGAGAGAGAGAAAGAGAGAGAGAAGAGGGTGAGGTGAAATGATTAATCTGTCAAAAGGCTTGTGAAATTTTCAGGTCCACATGACAACGCTCTGATTTCCGACGAAGGCAGTTTTACGTTGGGAACTTCAACCCCCGGTGCCGATGCACCGCCAGGCGGACGCGGTGCTTGCGTGATTATCGGCCAGGCTTTTCTTAGCTGCTGCCCGATTTGCGTGCGGTTTCAGCACTGGACAGCGACAGCCAGGAAAACACCGAGTGAATCCTGAGGCAGGGGTAAGGGAGAGAAGAAAAAAAAATTTTTTATGCATGTCAGTGTTTGTGTGCAGCCGCGCTTCAAGCGTTAAGCTCCGGTGCGCAAAATGGTGTTTGGTTGGATGTGACAATCCGGAGCTACGAATGTCCTTGAACGCGCGAGCTCGCGTTCGTGCAGTTCTGTAGAAGTGAATGTGGATGTACGGCGTGCCCGTGTCTATCTGTGTGTGTGTGTGAGTGTGTGAGAGATATGGAGGTAGAGATATGACAAAGATAGTGGTTGATAAGCAAAGCAACTGCGCAATTGTCTGTCCCTTCCTGTTGATATCAGTCTCTCTCTCTCTCTCTCCCTCCCCTCTCCCCTCTCACCTCCCCCCCTCTACCTCCACAGTCGTGTCAGACCCTCTCTTGGCTCTGGGGCAATGCGCTTCTAGACCACCCCAAGGAGCAAGTAGCATATCCTGGACTGAGCAACAACCCACTCCTCCTCCTCTTCCTCCTCCTCCTCTTCCTCCTCTTCTTTCCTCCCCTCACCGCCACCATGGGTAACCGTGGCATGGAGGATATGATCCCGCTGGTCAACAAGCTGCAGGATGCCTTCAGCTCCATCGGCCAGGCCTGCAACCTGGACTTGCCGCAAATAGCAGTGGTCGGCGGCCAGAGCGCAGGGAAGAGCTCGGTGCTGGAGAACTTTGTAGGCAGGTAAAGTAAAAAAAAAAAAAAAAATGACCTCCAGAAATAGGATAATCCCTTCACTCGTTAACCTTGAGCATGACATAAGAGGCCTAGAGTGTGTGTCCGATCTGTCTCTGTGTGTGTCTGTGTAGTTCAAACCATATATTCTTTTTTTTTTGTCACTAATTTTAGTCGCAAACCGCTATCTTCTGTTTATTTTTTCCGGTGTTGTCTTATTGAAGGGAAGGACGTGGTATTTAGGCCAACAGCAGCACCGGGAGATTTACGGCTTCTCCGCGCTCTTCGCACAGCGTTGTTTGCCTAAAATATGATCGTGCGATCTAAAATCCGCAATCTGTGGATCCAAGCAGTCTGTAAAGATGGCTGTTGAAGTTTGGAAACACCTGTCGGAATTGGAGTTAGCTTTGCGTTAGCTAGCTAGTGATAAGTCACCTTTGGTCACTGTGGGGTTTTCAGATAAATGCCGTATATGCTAGTGATAAGTCACCTTTGGTCACTGATACCCAACCCGTGGTCCGTGGACCTTTACAAAAAAGTATCTATTATTATCTGTCATGCGCCCCCTAGGGGACAGAAATGTTTTCACGCCCCCACACCACCGCGAATTGAATTACTATTGAGAACCTGATAACATGTATATTTTTATCTCTACAAACCACTGTATGAGTTGCTGCCCCCTAGTGACTGGAGGCTTGTTATCATTCAAGCATTACAGCAGTGGTCCACTTGTGTCCAGCGTGCCATATTCCATTAGTTTGTCTTTCTGATGATTTGTCTCACCGTCTGATTGTTTGTCTCACTGTCTCCCGCCCCACTATTTGAGTACTGGTATAACCCAAATAAATCTAAATGGACTTCACGGTTGACCTTTCCAGTGAGTGATTGAAACGATGTCCTTCGTTTGTTTTAACCGAGGCCGATGAAAGCTAATCACTCGGGCTGGAGCACAGACATATTTTTTAACAGATGACATCATCATCGTCATCGTCGTCATCATCATCGCCTGTGTTATTTAATAATTGGGATTTATTTGGCTGCATGAGATCCGACAGTTGTAGCAGACGGAAGTTGGCTGCTATTGTCGACAGCTTTGTGGAAAAAAAAAGAAAAAAAAAATCCTAGCTAAGTTAGCAGTCTGGGAGATAACAGCCGATAAAAACTGAAGTATAAGGCTAAAATATTTCCTTTTTTTTTTTACTTGCGCTAGTACAGGCATGGCCAAACCAAGGCTCGGGGGCCGGATGCGGCCCGTTCTGCTTCTTAATCTGGCCCGCCAAATTTTTCCAAATTATATTGTATGTTATTTAAATTATCATTATACTTCTGCCTTTTCCCTGCAATACCCAGGTTTCCCCAGTAGATGGCGTAAAAATTCCTAAAAGCATTTTAGCCTTTATGCATGACTTTTACATGTTAGTGCGAGTTCCCATGAACGCTCCATCTATCTGCTCCTGACCCGGACCCCCCGTTCAAATTTTATGACCCAATATGGCCCGCGAGCCACCTTAATGAATAAGACGAAAGAGTTATTGGTTTTCCTTCTGGTCAGGCACGTTGAGTATTTTGTTCCTTTGTGGTTTTTTTTTTACTGTTCTATGGCCCAGTGGGAGGATTTTTATGATCCCAGAGTCGAGTTTTGATGATGTCACAGCTAAAGCGAATTGACCTAGCCTACGACGACATGACATGCTTTTGATTTTAAATGGCTTAATTTGGTCTGTAAAACGGACCCTAAATTAATGATCCTTTTTTTTAATGAGGAAACATAAAGCTCTGTGCTGTTTCCTCTTTAGGATTAAGAAAACCGTTAAAATCCCAGCCTACTATATCCTTTGCTCAGGGTCAAAATGCTGAGTAACGGTCCAGGTATTGGGCAATGACTCAGCGAGGAGCAGACAGATAATTGGTTTGTCTTTCTTTTAATCTTCCCAAGTGAACAAGTTGTTGTTCACTTGGTGTCTAAAATAAAAAAAAAAAAAGGTTTCTAAAAATAACATTTTCATCGTCTCGTTGCGTTTTCTTTCTCCTCAGGGACTTTTTACCTCGTGGGTCTGGTATTGTCACCCGCAGGCCTCTGGTTCTGCAGCTCATCAGTTCGACTGCAGGTGGGTGCGCACACCGATTGGTTGATCCTGAACTGATCTGAGTCATTTACTCCACTGTATTTATGACTGTTTTCTTGCTCCCAGAATGGGCCGAGTTCCTTCACTGCAAAGGAAAGAAGTTCACAGACTTCGACGAGGTGCGTCAGGAGATCGAGGGAGAGACCGACCGGGTCACCGGTGCCAACAAAGGCATATCGCCCGTTCCCATAAACCTGCGGGTGTATTCTCCAAATGGTGTGTAAACAATCATTCTGTTAAATGTGCTATCAGAAAATTAGTTTTAATGAAACATTTAGCATTAACTTGATTTATTAACTAAGGGCAAACTAAGGCCCGGGGGCCAGATGTGGCCCTTTCAGCTGTTTAATCCAGCCTACCAAACCTTTCTAAATTATATATTTATATTATCATTATACTTTTGCCTTTTCGCTGCAATACCCACATTTCCCCAATAGATGGCATAGAGAATTATAGGGCATAGAAAATTATAAAAACATTTTATCATTTCTTTTTGATTTTCTCTTTCGACATCAGAAATGGGAAAGGTTTTTCTCTTTAAATATACCAATATTTTAGGATTAGTCAAAATGCTAAACATTAGCTTAAAGAGCTAGAAATGGAAATTTGTGCTTGGACAGTATCAGCATATCGAATATCGGCAAAAAGCTAATATCGGACATGCCTGGCTAAAGGTAAAAAAAGAGTCTGATCTTGTATCTTTCTGATCCCGCAGTACTGAACCTGACTCTCATCGATTTACCGGGAATCACCAAGGTGCCTGTGGGTGACCAGCCCGTAGACATCGAGCAGCAGATCAGGGACATGATCATGCAGTTCATCACCCGAGAGAGCTGTTTGATTCTGGCCGTCACTCCTGCCAACACCGACCTGGCCAACTCTGACGCTCTGAAACTGGCGAAAGATGTGGATCCCCAGGGTGAGGTCGACGGACGTGGCCTCGTGTTTTTTTTTTTAAGATGTGGATCCCCAGGGTGAGGTCGATGAACGTGACCTTATGTTTTTTTTTAAATTTGTGTGATAGGCTCAAGAAAGAGTCCATGAGGTTGAAGATGATGGAAAGGGGGGAATACTGATCAAAAGCTAACGTTGCTACGGGATCGAAAGTGATACATTTGATTCCTGGCTTGTACGATCCGCCTGCGTTAGCATTGTTGTCCGTTCTAAAATGACCATAGGTTTGAATGCGAAATGCACATATTGGGTATCCTAGAAATATGATCTGGGCTAGACTCTTTAGATATGTCTTTTCATTGTGGGTTCTTTATTACGCTCCGTAGGACTTAGGACGATCGGCGTGATCACCAAACTGGATTTGATGGATGAAGGCACAGACGCTCGAGATGTGCTGGAGAATAAGCTGCTGCCGCTGAGAAGAGGTAAGAAAAAAAAAAACAAAAAAAAAAGTTGCGGGTCCGACTCTGATCACGTCCACGTGCAGTTCCGGTGACGAACTCTAGTCATGTCTTCGATTCCGTTCCTTCCAGGTTATATTGGAGTTGTGAATCGCAGTCAGAAGGACATCGACGGCAAGAAGGACATCAAGGCCGCCTTGGACGCCGAGAGAAAGTTCTTTTTGTCCCACCCGTCTTACAGGCACATGGCGGAGAAAATGGGCACCCCGCGTCTGCAGCGATGCCTGAACCAGGTGAACCGGCCGATTCCTTTTTTCTTCGCTGCCGCCGCGTGCGGTGCACTTTCCATAATTAATAAGAGGACGACCTACTTCTACTCTTCATGTCCTTGCACATCAGCGCGGCCACAAGACGACCGTCAGTGACTGCGCAATGCATCGTCTCCGTCTCGCTCGCTTTCTTTTTTTTTTCTTTTTTTTTTTCGCCACCCACATCTGCTGTGCGTCGTTATGAGCCGAGTACATTCAATTCCATTTCTTGTTTTAACTCACTGCCCCCTTGTGTCTTCATAGGAACTGACCAACCACATTCGGGACACCCTGCCAGCTTTCCGCAGCAAACTGCAGTCCCAGCTGTTGGCTTTGGATAAGGAAGCCGAGGAATACCGGGGATACCGACCTGATGACCCGTCTCGCAAAACCAAGCAGCTGTTGCAGTCAGTATCAGGGCTTTTTTTCCTCAGAACAAAATAGTTGACATTAGATGTGGTCGTCGTCTTTCCCCATCCTTGGCGAATGGTATACTTCCATCCTGTCCATGTGGACAACACAGGGCGTGGGTTGGAACTTGGAAAAAAAATAATGTGTCGGCCTGATTTGGTTGGTTTCATTTATTTGATTGGTTTTTGTTGTTGTTGTTGTTGTTGTTGTTGTTGTTGTGTTTCAGGATGGTACAACAGTTCTCTGTGGATTTCGAGAAGAGGATTGAGGGCTCAGGAGACCAGGTGGACACGGTGGAGTTGTCTGGTGGAGCCAAAATAAACCGCATCTTCCATGAGCGCTTTCCGTTCGAACTGGTCAAGGTGATCCATTGCGTATAAACCAGCAGAGGTGGAAACTAGGCCTTAAAAAAAATTTACGTTTTTTTTTTATGTTTAGTGGAAACTAGGCCTTAAAAAAAATTTAATTAACTAAAAGTATGTTTACTTTGCTTACGTACCCATCTAAAAATCTACTTGAGTAAAAATAAAAAAAATTAATTAATATTTACTTTAAAAGTTACTTAGTTACTTCTAAATTACTTGAGGTAAAAATGACAAGTCTGACTTACGCCTGGGAGCCATAATGAAGGGCAAAAAGTTCCCAAAAAAAAAAACTCCCAATAAACTAAGCTGTCTCGTGTAAAGCGTTGCGTCACGACGTGCAATATTATTTATCGGAATGATAAAGCAAGGCTTTCTGAATAAACTTATGGCCGATGGCGACGTAGCTCACGAAGCGCCGTAAGTGGAGGAACACATGGGTGATAACACTTCTGTTGCGATGACCTTCACGTAGCTTGACGCCCACGCTGATGACCTTTGACCTCCATATGCTGCCGAGCCATTGGAACGCTCATTTAGCTTTGTCTCTCTGTTGTCCTCAGATGGAGTGTGACGAGAAGGAGATGCGCCGCGAGATCAGTTACGCCATCAAGAACATTCACGGTATCAGGTAAGGATTTAGTTACTGGTCCAATTTTTGTGATTGTTGTTCTTTTTTTTTTTTTTTTCTTTTTTTTCGACTTGGCATGGATGGCAAATGAAACATTGCTATTTCTTCTGCGTCTTCGGGCCGCAGAACATCATCTGTCTTGCTAACTCTATAACACATACCATATTTTCCAGACGATAAGTCGCAAATTCTTTCATCCTTTGGCAGGTTTTGCGACTTATACTAATTATATTAAAATATATCATTTGTTTTTTTCACACTGACAGCCACTAGAGGGCACTTTAGTGGGTTATACTCCAGAGCGAGTATAAATGTTTTTTCTTCTTCATTCTGCGATTTTGGCTAGTGCGACGTATAGTCCGGAGAATACCGTACGACCATTGAACATTTACATGTTTATTATTTTCACTCTGACAGCCATTAGAGGGCACTCTAGTGGCCTGTACTCCGGAGCAACTTAGCATAAATGTTTTTTTCTTCTTCATTCTGCATTTTTTGGCTAGTGCGACTTCTGGAGAATACCGTACTCGTTTCCTTTTAATGCTAAAATTGACATTGACATTTGCTTAATGTAGCCGTACTTTACCCAGCGAAGTTTACAGGCGCACTTCTGCAGTAAAACACAAAATTCGATTCATTAAAAACCTTAAAATACACATGATTTAATTTGGATAAAAACAATTTCTTTCACATTAAAAACGTGCCGTCACTAACAGAGCTTTTATTTCCTTCCGTGGTCTTCAGGACTGGACTTTTCACCCCGGACATGGCCTTTGAGGCCATTGTGAAAAAACAGGTCATAAAGCTGAAGGAACCCTGTGTGAAGTGCGTGGACATGGTCATCCAAGAGCTGATTAACACCGTGCGCCAGTGCTCCAACAAGGTATGTGGTCGGTGTTGTAGAGCAACGGTTCATTTTGAATGTTTGAAGTAGAGGGATGAATGGGTTTTAAGTGCTGAAAATGGCATGTTGAAAAATTGGAATTTGAAAAAAAAAAAGGTTTGAGTAAAGGTTCTATATTGTTTCGAAAATAGCTTATATAGCATATATTTTTAGCAGCAAAGTTGAAAGGGGGGAGAAAAGGCAGAATCGTAATTCTTTAAAATGGACCAATGAAAGAGCTGCATGTTGTGTTACCAGCTGGACTGCTTTCCGATGCTACGAGAGGAAACGGAACGAATCGTGACATCTCACATCAGAGACAGAGAGAGTCGAGCTAAGGACCAGGTATCTATCTGTCTATCTGTCTGTCTTTCTGTCTGTCTTTCTGTCTGTCTTTCTGTCTGTCTGTCTGTCTGTCTTTCTGTCTTTCTGTCTGTCTTTCTGTCTGTCTGTCTGTCTGTCTTTCTGTCTTTCTGTCTGTCTTTCTGTCTGTCTGTCTGTCTGTCTTTCTGTCTTTCTGTCTGTCTTTCTGTCTGTCTGTCTGTCTGTCTGTCCATCCGTCTGTCCGTCTGTCCGTCCGTCTGTCTATCTATCTATCTATCTATCTGGCTAGCTGTCTAACTGTGTATCTAGCTAGCTAGCTAGACAGCTATAAAAAGCTACACATAGATATCACTTTCCTTCTGCGAATTTACTTAAAACATGTGTATTTAGCCTCATTGACATTTAGCCTTTGGTCCAGTAAACTGATGTCTGGAGGCAAAGCTAACAGTTAACATACCGTCTAATATTATAAACTTCAAGGAATAATTACATATTACTAAATCATTTTTAAATTTAGTGAGTGTGGCTTACATTCAGGTGCGCTCAATAGTCCGGAAATTACAGTCTCAGTCACTAGCGATGCTAACAACGAGATGTAAGTGGAGTTTTACTATATAACAACATGACCCTGGGTTTGTGTTGTGTTGTTCCAGGTTCTTCTCTTAATTGACATCCAGCTTTCTTACATCAACACTAACCACGAGGACTTCATCGGCTTTGCTAAGTAAATGCTCTCATCTATTAGCTTCATGATGACGATTAATGAACATTTTCCTGGCCCTCCCCACTGTATTAACGTTGTCTTCCCACGTTATGCTCTTGCATCTTGGCCTCTCATCTCCGCTCGCTGTCCTGTCTCCACAGTGCTCAGCAGAGGACCAGCCAGTCCAATAAGAGCCAGAGTTCGGCGGGAAATCAGGTGATTATGTGTGTGACACACCACTGGAGTGACTCCACTGCAGTTGAGGTTCAAGCTAGGGATGGCTCGATCCGATACCTGATCGGTATCGGTGTGATATTGGTCAGAATTTCAGGATCGAACATCGGGAAAAAAAATACCTGATCGGTATCGGTGTGATATTGATCAAAATTCCAGGATCGAACATCGAAAAAAGCAACAACTATAGCCCCGTCGGATCCGATACCAAAACCAAAATGCTCAACTTAACTTTACGCGACACGCCGTACACAGGGACGCTAGCACCTCAACGACAGCAGACTGCGGTTTGCTAGTGAAGAATAGAAGGTATCGGATTGAGATCTGCCGATACTCCAAGTTGCAGTAACGGTATTGGACATGAGAAACGAGTATCGAGCCTTCTCTAGTTTAAACTGTCTTATAATTGAACGCTCACTTTGAATTATAGACGCCACCTAGCAATTCTGGAAGAACCAAATATGACATATTGACTCGCGGGCCATGATTGGTCCTAAATTTGAACAGAAGGGATCTATAGGAACAGAGAGATGGAGCGTTCGTGTGAACTAAGAGAAATGACATGTAAAACGCATAAAGGCTAAGATGCTAAAATGCTTTTAGCATTTTTGGCGCCATCTATTGGGGAAATGTAGGTATTGCAGGGAAAAGGCAGTAAGTATAATGTATAATATAAATAATTTGGAAAAGTTTGGCGGGCCGGGTTAAAAAAAACTGAATGGGCTGCATGTGGGCCCCGGGCCTTAGTTTGCCCATGCCTGATATGGACAGATGATGAAGTTGAGGGAAACCAAGTTGACCAAAAGAAAATAACTAGAGTTTAAAAGCAAGAGCAGAATTAGCATGTGTCACAACATAAGGGCCGTGGGCCACCTGTAGCCCGCAAGGTCATTTTATGTGGTCCACAGGAGCTTAAAAATTTTTTAAAAAAATATTACACAAAGCAGTGTACAATACTTAATAATCAATTGCAGAAACATGTATTAATATGTTACGGAGTAGTTACAGCTAGAGAGTCGAACAGTTACAACTGGTCTTTTAAGAGCAACTGTATTGCTGGTTTGGCGCCCCCTTCCCTTGGTGAAAATGAGTGTTGACACCCCTGCAGTAGAGGGTCAAAGGTGTGCGTTCAGCTGCTTTGCACATTTGTTGTTGTTGTTTTTTTTTGGGGGGTCAGTTTTCACATGAAATTGTAACATTTCCTGGACCACGTATTTTTTATTTATCCAGTTTTACTTTAATCATTACTGGTGATATTGTGAATCTCAGCTTCCCCTCCCACCTACCGACATCCGCGGGTGAGTATCGTTGCTTGTACCTGCAATACCTCTGTCTGCCTTTGTGTGGCGCTCCACAGCACCACCTGGGAAAACCATTTGTCATTTTCCTTACCTTTCTCCCGAGACTGGTCAGGAGATGACAAACGCGGGTGCGAGAGCTTTGAGTTTGTGTTTTCTAAAAAAAACCCTCCTGCGTTACTCCCCGTTGCAGGCCTCCTCTCCTCCTGCCAAAGGCCTGATTGTGAGATTTTTACCATTTCTTTAACCGTTCTAACACCCTAACCCCCCCACTCCTGCGCACAACGAAGAACGCCGACAAATGGCCTGAATCTGTTTTTAACAAAGACGACACGCAACGACTCATGCATGTGGCGAACACGCGGTCCAATGCTTGGCTGTGAATAACACGGTGACACGCCTAACCCTTTCCGATTTGTGGGGAAAAAAAAAAAATGTATTCACGTTTCACCAACTTTGATTGTTTCCGAGCTAAAATGTATTCACGTTTCACCAACTTTGATCGTTTCCGAGCTAGGTGTGTGTGTGTGTGTGTGTGTCTTTAACACGCTGTTAGCCTGCCGCTTCTTTTCCCCTGGGCGAGATTGTTTTTTTTGTGTTTTATGCCTGTCCGAAGTCAGGGTTTTTATAACGACCCCCCCCCTCTCTCCTCGTCCACAGGTCATCCGTAAAGGTTGGCTGACCATCAACAACATCAGCATCATGAAGGGCGGAGCCAAGGAGTACTGGTTTGTGCTGACTGCCGAGAGCCTCTCCTGGTTCAAGGATGACGAGGTGAGTCCGGAGAAACGCTGATTTTTTTTTTTTTTTATCGCGTGAATCGCTCTTCAAACGCGGTGGCGATTTTCCATCCACGCGATTTCATTTAGCACACCTGCGCCTATGCTTAGTGGCGCCTCCAGCCTGTGAGTTACAACCATGTACTAAATGGCGCCCCCCGGTGGTACTCTGTGCGGGTTGCAAAGACTCACGTTGTACATTTCTTCGCTCAGTTATTTTTTATTATAATTATATTTATTTGTTTACTTTATTTTAGTGCTTTCGTAGTGTAGCGGGTTAGCAGGCCTGACCCCCCTCGCAAGCATTTCTGGAGGAACCACATCATCCTAATGGCGCCTGCCATGTGGCAGCGTTGTGAGCTGCAACCATGTGCTTGATGGCGCCTCCGGTGGCAAGCTGTGTCAGTTGCAAAGACCCGTACTGTAAATTATTCTCAATTATTTTAGTGTTAATTTTTAATTTATTATTATTATTATTATTATTATTATTGTTATTATCATTATTATTATTATTATTATTATTTGGTTACTAATCTGAAGGCTAGGGATTTTTTAAAGATCTTCACCAGCCCTTCAGTATTGTTTTTTATCAAATATCATTACCTTTGGTAACTTTATCCTATAAAATGCACCATCCTCTGAATTCAACAATTAATTTCAACAATATCAATACTGCAGGACAAACAGTCAGTCAAAAACACTGTGTTGCTAAAGTCAAAGTTTTTCAGATGTGTTTGTAGCCAAACTAGAATTTCTAGTGTTTATTTTGTTTTTCAGGAAGTAAAGCAACTTGTTTGGAAAAACCTCAAGACAAAAAGTGGTCCCATTTAGAGGAATGCAGCTGTGGTTGTATTTTCTTCCTTTGAGATGTTCATTGTCAGTCATGACACAATGCAATCATCAATGTTGGAAAAGCAGCCACACAGAGCTTCACAATGTAACATGGTCCAGTCATGTCCTGCATATGACTAAGCCCTTGAAGAAGTTTCTTAAACAGGAGCGTGATTGTTGAGAATATAGAACAAATCACAAATGTTTGTCATGACACTGACCAGACTTTTACTAAACTACCAACTGTAGCTATAAAAAAAATAGAAAATAAAATAGAATAAAAATAAACTAGAAAGTGCACTTTTTGTATTGCCTCTCCACAGTAACAACTCAAACATTATTGCAATCAAATCAAATACAAAAACCAGAACAGTACAGCAGGTTTGCACTCTTTGAAAGAATTATTAAAACACTGTCAGTGGATCTGGTCCCTCCATCTCTGCTCAGCTTTTATATTCATTGTATTTAGTTGTTCCCACTAAAAATAGATGTCAGTGTCATTTACTGTTTCTGCTGCCCTCAGAGATCCCTTTGTACTTTCAAAGCTCTTTCTGCCACTACATTTGCTTTTAGGCAGTGAATTTACCCAACAAAGTCCATTATTGCAGTATTCATACGTTATTTTGAGACTCCATCATTGGACATGCAATTGTATTATTATTTATTATTTACATTATCACTTAATTCTCACAGAGGACGTCCGTATACACGCCAGGGGTCCAGTGGTAGCTGCAGCAACGTTCGACCTCGTCCGTCCTGCTGGCGTTTGTTTTCGCTGGGCTGTTGTCTATCTGCCTGTCTGTGCCTGCTGTACAGTTTGGAGGATATTCTGCACAGCAAGTGTAGATAGGCAGACACACTGCAGCTCCGTCAGCTTACTGTCGCCGCTGCTACTGGACCTTGGTTCGAATCACCGCTTGTCATTTTCTCCTGGTGGATTTTCCCAAAGTTTCCTCTTCTACCGCTGAGCTAAGTCAATTTGGACCATTCCCATCTTTTTTCATTCAACGTTCATTTTGTTTTAACTCGCAGACACCCCTAAAAATACAACGCAATCAAATTCCCTCCTCCGCCGCTGCCGCCGCCGCCGGTTTCCCCGGCATGTCATTTCCACCGTCCGTGTGGTGATGGAGGAAATTATAGACTCCGCTGGCTTTGCTTTGTGTATCTGTTTTACACTCCGTGAACTTGAGTCACACACACACACACGCACGCACATTTGCACGCCTACCTCCTCCGGCCCTCTCTCTCTCTCTCTCTCTCTCTCTCTCTCTCTCTCTCTGGTGTGTTTGGCAGTTACTTTGGAAAGCTTTGCATTCTTGGCAATGGAGAATCCCAATAATTCAATCTCGAACACTGCTCTTTGCGACGTTTTCATGTCCAGAAACCCCTTTTATTTGGATATTATCAGCTCTCCAGAACTCGTCATCCTTAGTCCCAATAAAAATCCAACCCGGCTCGCTCTCTCTGAAGACACCGGTCGGGGACCCCCCCCCCCCCCCCCCCCCCCGTCTCCCTTCTTTTTTTTTTTTTTTTTTTTTTTACATTTCCCCCACCGTCTCGCGCCATCTGCAGAACATGTTTTCCTTCGACTGTCCTCATGAAGTCATTCGACACCGTGGCACATTATTATGTCCTCCGCCTTAAGTCTCTTTTTTTTTAGAGGGGAGGGCGGGGAGGGGGGGGGGAAGGGGCCACCACCTTGCAATAACT